GAACCCAAATCTGCTGCCAGCCGCAAAGACTGCACAAACTTCAATGCCTCTGTTGAAGCTAGGCCCTGAGTTGACTTGTCCCATGCAGCTAAAGATGCTCCCGACAGGATTATCTCGGCAATACTAACTCGCTTGCGCTCACCCTCTGTCACGTCTTTGACTTTAGTGCTATATGTGTGACTCAGACCGAACACGGCTACAACAACTTTTGTTATAGCTTTTGCATATTCTGTCCGTGTTATTCCCTGTAGTCTTTCGGTTGGGGCTCGAATTGATGCCGCAAACTCCAAAGTCCGGCCAACCGTCAAATGTGAGAAGTGTTTGTCGGTTCCGTAGTTGTAAAGAATTGCTCTCTTGACATTCTCCAGTGTCTGTTGATGTGGAATGCCATGGTAATGGAAGACCGATTCAGGATCTAGCTTCAGGCCATCAAGCTTCCCGCACAATGTTTTTGCGACCGTACTGCACCCTGCTCCAGGTCGTCCTAGGATAAGCAGCAGTTCCCCATTGCTTATGACGCCGTTTAGATTCCGTACGATACTCTTGGGGGATTTCCGGCCCTGACTGAATGTATCTCGCGGCCGCAGTAAGGCAGAGAAGACACCCAGAGCCGTCAATTTACGAGCCTCGGGCCTAAATCCCAAAACATGCAGGTTTTGAAAGGTCGTTGCTGATGAATCTTTATGTGTGCCCGGGTTAAGCATGCACATCATCTTTCTGAGCCAGCTGTATAAACTGAAGTCTCGGCTCTCTGGGTTAAGATACGGCTCGCCGGGCGAGAAATTAGTCAGTTGACTGACACGAGCAACAACTTGATCATTTGCAAGCTTGGTAAGATGTAACTTTTCGGTTGGGTCCAAGGCAGCGCGAGCCTTGTAACACAATAAGGTCTTGTTATTCTTTTCGTCTCCCATTGGGGATTGTTTTCCTGATAGAGATCCAATTTCGGATGTCGAATTTCCCTCATCAACCGCAATGCTGTCACGATGGTTTACGTCGTATAAGACCTCTTTCTCTTCTACTGTGTGCACCACTTCCGAGGATGAAGCGGGCGCAGGGTCTTCTTCAACTGCTTTTCCAGAAGCCTCATCTTCCTCCGTTACTCCTTGGTCAGCCACTATCGCAGGGCTAATAGACACACTTTGGTCCATATGCCTAGCAGTCGCATAAGTATCGTCTTCTTTGGCTTCTCGAGAGTCGGTTATCCCACTTTCCATCTCTTGCTCCTTCACTGCGGGTGCGATGGTTAGTGGGGACGACGTAGGTTCCGCGTGTGATATGAGAAAGGTGCCTTTTCTTCTTTCGCTTGTTTGAGTTGTTCCATTCATTATGTTGATTCTTGTTTCCCAGGGAGCAAGATCCGGTGTCACGGTCTTAGGGGGGCCCTTATCAACGTCGGCTTCGGCCCCTACGTTCTCAAGGCTTTCTGTAAACATCATTTCCGATGAAGCGGTCTGTGAATGAACTCTCGTGTCGCTGTGGCCGTCCGTATTGTTCGTTGCGCAATTGTGGTCCTCCCATTCATTGGTCTCTATCCTAGACCCAGTATGTGATGGTATGGTGCTCTGTTCGGCTGATTCGGTCCCCTGTGCTTGGGGAATTCCCTGGGCGAACCGCGACGTGGACAAGAACCCCGAGGAAGTATCCTGCCCTTGAGTTGACGTTTCTTCCATATATCCATTATGAGTTTGCGCTTCGGCAGCCACTTGTCTTTCAGCAACTCTGTGCTCTGATGCTGCGTATGGGTTTCCCAAATGCACATTGGAGGACGAGAGAGAACTTTCCAGCGTGTCAAAGTTCATAGCTCCAGAATGCTCTTGAGAGGTATCCTGCCTCTGAGTCGACGTTTCATCCGCATGTTCTTCATAAATTTGCGCTTCAGTAGCCGCCTCCCTATGAGTGAATCCTGAGGCCAATATAGCATTCGAGAACGACGACTGCGGGTTGGAGAAAGAGATGTTCCTTTCCATCATCTCAGACTGCATTGCTTCAACATTCTGAGTAGACGCATTATGCACTTGAGCTACAACTGCCGTGCCTTCCGTATATCCACTGTAGGTTCGCACTTCAGAAGCCACCTCCCGGTTAGCGTCTATCGATGCTGATGTAGCATCCAAGAACCCCAAGCGGGTGTTGTCGGAAAAGATGTTTCTTTCTGCCATCCCGGGCTGCAGTGCTCCAGCATCTCCTTGAAAGAGGCCATGCTCTTCTGAGTTCATAGACAATCCTTCAATATTTCCACGATAGATTCGCGCTTCAGAAGTCACCTCCCGTTCAGTGACCCTTGATACCGATGTAGCATTCGAGAGACCAAACTGCATACTGGAGGAGAAATTTCGTTCTAATAACTCGGACTGCCCTGCTTCATCATGCTCTTCAACAGTCCTAGAATTAGAAAAGTGAGGAGGTGTTGAGTCCGTTGGAAAGAATTGAAACTGGCTCCTAATACCGTCACCAGTCGTAATGTCTTCATGGACGGTTTCGTCTTCGACAGCGCGTGATCTAGCTGAGTATTCAGAGCTCGATCGCACATGCGCGAGATTTAACTCCCTGAAAGTGTCCTCGCTGAAATTGCCACTTCTAAAGACGTCTTCCTCGCCCATCGATCGGGAACTAGAAAAGAATGTCGAAGAAGCGGACCACCCATGGGCCGAGAGATGATCTCTCTCCAACCCATCCCTGTTGGTATTCATTTCGTCCTCGTCTCTGTCGGCCATGTTGTAGTCATATAATCATCATTCGTCTCCGCAATAATGGTCACGAACTGGATCTTTGGCCAGCGATCGGATTAGTCCAGAATAGGGAAGGAAAACAATCATCGAAGAGTCACAAGAGGTCGGTCTCAAACAGCTGTGGTAGAAAAGAGAACTGCTAGCCAGGACAGAAACTGGGAGTATGAACTCCGGGACTCTGCTTACCTGTCAGAGAGTCTCTGCGTAGACCGGGAGCCATTTTGTCCGTGGTGCAGCTCAACAAACCCAGTTCAGCTGGCACTCGCATAAGTCTATCGATGGACCAAAGATTAGTCTTCGGAAGAAAGAAGCAAACAAGTCCTCATCAGATCCTCAGAGGTGCATGAGCTCTGTGGTACCCACTGATCTACAAGGCAGGCTCGGGATTTTGTATGTGGACGAATAGCTAGTCCGGCACCCGGGGGCGATAGTGATCCCGGCCAGATGATTAGATTAGACATGATTTCTTTGGATGGACGTAGTGTACAGTTTGATAATTGTGGTGACGATTTGGTCTTGATCCACAGATTGATGCTTCGTTCATGTTTTGGGTTATAAAGCAGACAGACTGCGAGAATAGAAATGAGAGACTGCTTTCATGGCTTCAGCTGAAATACCCGTGGGTCCAGGTGATCCCGACAGCTGGCTCCGCCGGCTAGTGACTACCATACGGCTCGTGCTGCCCGGCGTCGATCATCCCGGGACGGTCCAATGGTTGGTGAGTGCTGAGAAAGTATGATTGAGCTCAAAGTACTGCTACAGACAAAAACAGAATGGCAGAGAACATTGTGTTGGATTCCTATCTAAGCGTGTCGTGACCACGTGACCTCACATACTAGGGTTTGGTATCGCCTCAACACGGCCCCCTAAGCAAGGGAACATTCGAAAGAGATGTTGTTGAGGTCGTAGTCTCTTCCTAGATAGGCAAGTCTTAGTATTTCAAGCATCGTTTTCAGGATGCGGAGCAGTGGCGGTGCCCGTAGCGAGACATCCCTAGCAGGTGCTTCATGTCACAGATCACCTCTGGCTTTGTTCGATCGCGTTCCTGCAAAGAGTGAAGAAATCAATGTCTGTATAGGTGCTCCCCGCGTCGGCAGGCATCGCTTGTTCTATCATTGTCACCCAGGTAGGAATGTCATGAAAGATCTCTCTGAGCATCAAGAGTGAAGCAGTAAACGGAGGTAGGCCGCACTGGAGTTGCTTGGCGAGTTTGTAGATGTTTTTGAAATCTTCAATGTACTGCCCCGCGGTTGAATAATCGGCACGCGTCATTCTGACTAGTTTGTACGCGACGTTCTGACATCTTACGACGCCGTGCCCCAGTACAATGTTTCTTATCACTTTGTATGCTTCATCGGCAAAATCCCTGTCGTCGACAGATGACACAAATGCTTCCATAACTTCATCAGATAGCTGCCTAGTCAGCCATATCTGCAGGCGTTGTGAGCAGCTATGCCATCTGACGAAGTTTTTATGGTTTTGTTCCGGGCGCGGAAGGTCACGGTCGACAAGGTCCTGCAAGCCAAGGTTTTCAAGTACCAGTCGGACCTGAAGCTCCCATTTTGGGAAGTCGGACCATCCTCTCAGTGGGAATGGCAAGCCGGGAATAGTATCAGGTAGATCATCGGGTATTCTGTCCGCTTGCGTGGTTCCCTTTGGAGGAGTAAGCGATAAATCCCTGAAGAAGATCGCGCGTCCCTGTTGGGAAGCCATGCCGATGGAGGTTAACCAATTGAAGTGCTGAAAGCGGGGAGTATATTGCGGATGGTAGTTCCTCAGCACCTCTGAATGTTCGTATTGGGTGAACTTCGGTCAACACCCATTCACCACCTTATTTCGCTGATATTAGTCTCCGCCTTTTTCGGCGTCAGGTTCCGTGTTGTGCAGGTCTGGACAGCTTAGCAGCGGAGAGTCTTGGTTTATATCCTCTCAAGATAATGGTCAGGGGCTGATTCAACTGTAAGTATGATATTAGATTGTCAAGAGGGTAACGTTGGTTATGTTGAGGCCATGTAGGCAGCAGAGGGGTTGAACTATCTGGTGGGGTCAAGCTACAGTGAATGTCTGGAGCTTGACAGCATGTCTCATTTCATCTATAGTTTTACATTATGCTATGCATTGATCCCCAGTGTAGGCATGACATTATAGGCTTTAGCAGTTGCTTAGATATCACAGGACTACGCAAAGAAGGAGTATATCACAGCGGCAGCATCTACCTTCTGGTTTTTGTAGGGCCATCAATTGACTATTGTTGCTTTTACTTCAAAATCAGAAGAAAACCTCCCAGACCATGTGCGATTTCGCTCGGAGTATGTCCACCTCTGCTGCACCTTCAGTCAAGGACGGGATCTCTTCCACGTATTGTTTTACCTCTGCCCTATCATTCGCTTTCATTCGGAGGACCTGTTAAATTTCACCAGTTAGCATGTGTTAGATCATAGCACAGCGGTCTCAGTCACTTACCTTGCCTTGCTGTGGATAAACCACATCGAACACCTCTTCCGCTATTCCACCTATTCCAGAAAGTCGTGAGCCATTCGTGGACCAGAAAGGAAAAGACATAATCTCACTCGCAAAAATCCAATTGCATACCTTTCCAAAGCCTGACACAGTGCAATGCATCTCTCTCCCCAAACCTCGCATCATATGACGATGCATCCCTTGCGACGATAACAGCATACCATGTCACACATGGGTCCGTGTTAAAAGGCTGCAGACGTTGCACTGGCTCACAGTGCAGATACTTTCCTCCTTGGTGGAAGAGCTTAGACACCGAAGTGAAATTTCCAATGGGGATGACCTTGGCGTCTGAAAACCCATGCTTAATCCACGGCACCTCCTGTTTAGTGGACTCAGCACGTTCTGGGCTCTCAATGCCTCTCCAATGCACGACCGCTCCGTTGACCTTGTTTTCTTCGTCGGTTATGGAAGGGAAGAATCGAGTTGTTTCCCCGCTATTGGTTGAAGCCCAGGCAAACTCGGACTCTTTGCGAAGTAAGGCAAGTGGGGCGTCGTCAAGGGTCTTTCCTTCCTTGAAGATGTCGTAGAATAGGTAGTCCATTTTAGCAGGAGGTATAAGTTTGGGTGGCGAAGGACTGGGGTTCTAGAATGGGAATAAAGGACACGATACTTAAAGATACCTTGATCACGGATGATTCAGTATGTTACATCGCCGTTTGTCAGATGGAATATATATTGATATACACCTGTACGTCCCCCGCCGCGCTCCCAAAGGAATGCGATCAGAATTGGGAAGCCGGTGGGGGATCGGCAATTAGTTTTATGCTAAGCTTGCGGGGAGAGATGTGTCCTGAAAGCCTGGTGGTAGAATCCAATATTTCTAACATCTGAAGTTATAGATCCCGACGGGGCCGAGGGGGCCGATGGGGAAGCGACGATCATGCAGCAAGCCATCCAGAGCAGACCGTAGGTGTCAATGCGCCGATTTCAGAACTCGCTGATCTTGATGCACACGAACTTACTAGAGCAAGTAGACTTCTTGAGAGATTTTGCATAGCCCACTCTGGGAGTCCGGAATGTGGAGACGAAATAGAACTACATACATAAATCTCGAGTTGCCCATTCGATTTGGCCCTAACCCAGAAGCAAATCCTACATCAAGATGCACAATGGCCCTAGTTCTCCTAATGACCCAAAGGTATTCTTTACGTATCATATACAGATCCTTTTACATCAAACAAGCTGAGTACTAAGAGCCACTAGTATTGGAGTACCCGAGTCCGCTGCGCCATCCTGATGAACATTTGCTTTTATGTCTTCATCGGAAACCTATACGCGGCAGGCCTCTCCACAGGTTTTGCTTCATTGGCGCAGGACTTCCACGTCGGATTCGACACGCTTACTGGTCTTGTCGCCTGGCCTGTATTCGCACTCGGAATTTCCAACCTCTTTTGGATGCCGACAGCAATGTGCATCGGTAAGCGGCCAGTGATCTTGATCTCCATGATAGTCTTCCTAGCTGGATGCACATGGAGCATCAAAACAAGCACTTTCAAAGATCTACTAGCCTCTAGAATCATGGCTTCATTTGGTGCGTAGAACCTATCATTACTACTATCCTGTGAGCTCCCTTCATTGTTGATCTAGGGGCTGGGTCTATCGAGGCTCTTGGACCGTCTATTATCGCTGGTAAGTGAGTATGCCTTGCATGGTCTCTAGTCAAAGTACCTGTTACTTACGTATCATTGTATGGTATAGATCTCTTCTCGGAGCGGTATTTTGCAACCGCCATGGCTCTCTTCGCCTTGTCACTTTGCGCTGGATCTCAAGTCGGCCCTATGATTGCCGGTTTTGTTATCGACGACAAGGGCTGGAGATGGTTCTTCATCGTTTGCGTGATCCTCGGTGCAGTCAACTTCTTGGCTTCGATCCTCTTCTTGCCTGAAACAACCTTCCGGCGTTGCTTTGCCGAAGATGGGAATGGCAATGCCGCTGAAGTCGAGGAGAAGGTGGAACAAACTGTCGAACAGAGAGAGAACGAACCTTCTCCAAGGAATTACTGGAAGGATCTAATCTCGTTTAGAGATCGTGGTCTCGAGCCTGAAGGACTGAAATGCTGGCCTGGGCAATTCTCCCTCTCGTTTCGGTTCCTTTGTGTGCCGATTGCTTTATTTGCGACGATCGCCTATGGCATTTTTCTTTCGGGGTAATTCATACTTAGTATTCTCTGTTCGCAACATTCAGCCTTTCTACTCATACACTTGACCATTTCAGCTCTATCCACTACTTGATATACTACTATTTATATATTATACAAGCTAACCAACAAATACCACCCCTAGAATCGTCCTCATCTCCGCCATCAGCCCCCAATTCCTCTCAGCACCACCATACCACCTTTCCTCCTCAGCAATCGGCGTTTACACACTCTCCTCCTTCCTCGGCATCGTAATAGGCTACCCTATCGCCGGTCCCTTAACCGATCTCCTCTCCAGATTGGTCGCCACTCACAGAAGAAACACTACCACCACTATCAACAACACCCACCACCCAAAAGACCGCATGCCCGCACTCATCGTCCCCTTCCTGATCGCACCTCCAGGCTTGATCCTCTTCGCGTACGCAATCGCAAGAGAGAAATCGTTATATGTCTCTGCCACCGGATACGCCATGCAGGCAGCAGCTCTTGTCTTCGTTCCATCAGTCACCATGTCTTATATCATGGATGTATATCCGCAGTCCGGAAGCGAGGCCATGGTGCTTATCAATGCGGGTAAAAATGTCGTTGCGTTCGGGGTGACAGTCTCGGGTGCCGGTTGGGTGGGGCGTGAGGGCATTGTCAGGGTTTTTTGGGAATTGGCTGCTGTGCAGTGGGTGGTTTTGGCGTTGGTGGTGCCGTTGTATGTTTTTGATGGTGTTGTGAGGAGATTTGCGGGGCGGTTCGTTTAGGGATGATGTACTTCTCGATGCTCGTGTTCTCTTTTTCGTTTCTTTTTCTTCTTTATTAAAATATTTACAGAGTAGGCGTTGGAGTTTGCCTTTGCGCTGTATGAGATTTACTCAAGTTCTGGCTATATTAAGCAATGTATGGTGCTTGGCAAAGCCAGTATCGTGAGTTGTTCACTCCCGCTCCATGAACCAGTCACAGCCTATGTTGGTTTAGATTTAGCGCAAGAGACGCAGCTCAGCTGCGGGGCTAGTTCAAAGATCAGGAGGTGGGTTAACTTGTTTACTTCCCCTGTTATTAAGTGCCACATCCTAAGTATCTGCAAGACATACTCGCAACGTGGTCTTGGTCTGGCCCCCATACGCCCCGCATGACTGTTGATCTTGCTTGGAGTCAGTATGCATCTCGTCTAGTAGGTTCGGAGTCTAGGAATTTAGTATCCCTTCAAGCTTTCAGGGAGAATATCATGTCGGGAGAAGTGCGGCTGAGCCCGCTCATGTGCCAGCCATGGTGGTGGGGTCTTGGTCGGTTAGTATGTAAATCGTAGTTCTAGAAAGCTGAGCAGGATCTTCCAGTGGCTGTCGGGGAAGTTATTTCTCCGGTAAACAGTTGTTTTCTGGACCGTGATCCCGGAACTATTGTTGCTATCAATAGGCTTGAATGAGACGCATGTTGGACGAATGATTCGCCGACAATATGGAGAAATCGTGGATGGTCATCGGGGAATAAATCCGCGAAGCCAATTGTCTGGTCTTTGCCCAGGAGTTCTTACATACACTCTCATTGTTGATGAATCTGAGGGTGAATACACTCAGTATGTTCGAAAAGGCGATCCCATGATCGTTCCTGATATTGACGGCCGTGCTTGCTTGGTCTGTTGCCCGAGTATCCGAGACAGAGGACGATATGAGAGGAAGTTCGATTGAAATGAGATGACATCATCGCGCATTCAAGCCTAGCTTTGGCCGCCACGGCTTAGCTTGAATGTAGCTATAGTACGTTAGTGCCTGGATGGTCGATTTGGTGGCTCATCCTCGGCTAGTGTGCGCTGATGATCTGCCACGGTACTGCCCAAGGTAGAAAGGTGTATTGCATGAGCAGGTTGCGCTAGGAATATTGGTATGAGTAGCTGGTGCGCTAACATATATTGGCGAAATCACAAGCCGTACGCATATGCTTGGTTGTATTGAGTTGGGTGGCCTGTGTACGAGCCTTGGGCTGTGCACAATACCCCGGATTCAAGGTCACTTGTAAGCGGCTTCGCCTGAAATCCAGGAGGTCTTCGGAACGCAAGCATATCCTCGGTTGCTCTGAATTCTTACATCGAACTTGGTATCCATTTAGTCATGAATCTCCAGTTTGACTCACAGGTTTCATTTGTGAGGGGGACAAAAATCCCGTGCTGTCGAGCCAAGACCACCAGCCTGATCCAAGCGCCGAAGCACACGCCAAAGAACTCAATCCGTTCTAGTAGCCCCACCAATTGTCTCTACTTTGTGGTCGTTGGGGAAATATCCGACACGCAAACAAAACCAACTATCTCAGAATGGTAGAAAATCAAATATTGGTCCTGGAACGCCCGATTGTTTTCCGAGCCACTTAGATTCATCACTCTGCATTCCAATCAGAGCGAGTAACAGTAATATGTTCGACGACAAGTAGCTCATAGCAGAGTTCCCTCCTTGGTACCATTATGTCTGCGTAGTGGATGTTCTTGAAACAAAAGCTATAGCGGATGTAGTGGTACAATTCTTCCGTGCATATCTACCCAGTAGTTTATCCTGGTTCCAGCTGACCGGGATCGATTAGTCACCTTTGGTGTAACATGACTGCCCTATTTTCGAGAATCAGGTTTCGCATTCCAGAAATCGTGATGGGTATGTCAGGTAAGCTGACCATGTCTGTCAGATGAGCGCCAAAGATATCTTAGATTCTAGTAATCTGCCATGTGAATTGACGCGGGTGTCAGAACACCACGAGGTGATCTACTATCGACCAAGAAAGGAAAGAACCAAGGCGCTGCCATGCCGGTCCACGAATAAGGCAAGGTAAGCGACGGGTGAGCACTGGGAAGATGCAGAGATTGGTACTCCGTAAACGAGATGTATTGGGCGACTCACGATGCACATGAGGTAGGGGAATTCCTGCCTATGGGATTGTGCGCCCCTCTCCAGCCCGATGAGAAACGCGGGATGTCCAGAATTGGTAAGCCGCAGAGTAACCTGGAGACACGCTCGGCCACAACCGAAGAGCCTGACTGCGGGGGAAGGCCGAGCGCAGTTTCACGGATGATGGAGATTCCTACAACTGCTGGATGAAATGGCCTGGTCTCTTGGCAACTAACTCGAGCCGGCTTAGTGGTCAGACGCTAACCCGCCCGAGGGACGCCAGCAAGGAGTATGGGTTGCCACCCTTGGGCCAGTGAGGTGCCCGGCTTGCCTCGCGCGCTTTTTCCCTCAATCGGCCGGCGAGCTGAATGGTTACCATTAGTACTTTGGGGTACCCCGTACCCGTCCAGTCCCCAGGGCTGTGTACTTGGAGACAGGCGCAGGGCTCCCTCCGTGAAGGCAGCCTAATCGTACCCACCAGACTGCTCCTCAGGATAAGCATCTGACATCCCACATCTTCACCCATCAAGCGGGTATAGACATCCA